TTACTTATTATTCGGCATACTGCCCGAGCGGGAGGGGGGCTAGATCGCCATGACTTGCATTAAAAAGTAGATTTAAGAGTAGGTCGCGAACCGAAAATGTGTGGGCACCCCTGCGTTAGACCTTTTAGACCACGGCGGTACTCCACGCATCAGGGCCCACTTGAAAATGATGTTGTCCCCCCCGGCCGGACCATCCACACGCCACCCGAGTCCTCTCTCACCAGTCGGACAGACTATCAGTTCCCCGCCGTCGACCGGATCATCTGTGCTATACGCCCACCCCTCCCGCCCCACTCGTATGATTTTCATTGGATCAAAGTGGACAGTATCTGGCCCGAACTTAAAATGTAGAATGAGTTTGACACCCTTGCCTTAAATGCTCAAAAAGCTGCGCCAGCTGAAGCAGAAGTACTCCGTCAAAATGTAATAATTCTCAATCGGGGCTAGGGTCTAGGGCTTGTATACAACGGTGTCTGGGTCCGGACCCTGGTCCACCTGTTAGTGGCCCTTGAAGGACCTCTGCACTTCAACACCAAATGAATAAATGTAGATGGATATATAGATATATATACATATATATGCATATATATATATATTGGCTCACCTTCCTCACTCTGCAATGAGAATACAGATTGATATACGGGTCCTCATTACGACTAGTCGTTGAGGAACCTATTTTTTTTCATGGAATTAGGCCCTATTGTATTTTGAAGAATTATTATTATTATTTCTCCACTTTGATCGCACTTTTGAGGCCTTTATCATATTCAAAAACTCTCGAATTTTGGCGTGCGAATCAGAAGTGCGGAATTTTTTTTTTGCCTGCAAGGTAATCGGGCATACATGTAATAGCAGTAACGGAACAACAGTACTGCATGGCTTCAGCCCAAAACAAATAAAACATTAAAAAAAAAAGAGCATCTCATCAGTCCGAAGCGATACGGCCCGACGGGGTGGGTGGCGTGGACGCTACGGTCGATGGGGGGGGGAGAACCAACGCGGCTCGGACTGAAGTCCGTTTTTTTTTTTTGCGTGAGAAATTGGTTGTGTGGCGGGAGTGAGTGACTGGAGACTGAAATGAGTGACCTACACACTCAATGAGCCCTGTTACAGTGTTATGAACTAGACCAACATTCTGAGTATCTAAGTTAATACTACATCTACTCTAAGCAAGTACACCATGGTTTGGAAACAGAATAGGGATCTAATGTTCCCTTCCTTTCCTTGGTCTTGCCCTTTCCCAGGGGCTTAAGATTCATCGGAGGGGAGATTCATCCATGATAAACTCAAAAGCTATGTTTTGAATCTGTATTGCGTCCACACTGACACAATAAGTATAGTACAATACAAAGCATTGTGTATCGCAGCAGGCCATGATTGTCCATGTTACTTTAAACCAGCCAAACTTGCAATGTGTTGTGAGTTCTGCATTGGGCAACTTCATTACTATTATTATTTATTATAGCGAGCCAAAACAGATGAATTATAATTAAAGATATAAACTGTTGCATGTTGGGAGCTCAGGGGATCACACTGCCCCTCGATGGTCCACCAGTTTCATCACTGTGTTGCAGTTGCCACGGCCGACGGTAATGAGTGGTAATGTTTCTGAAACTAATGAGATCATTAATGAAGTCCGCAGTGAGCAGCTGTTGTAGAAAAACATTAACAGTTTCAGATGTAATTAGCCTTTTGGGAATGAAGAGAGGCCTCGTAGTAGATAACACTGGTGACAAAGTACCTGGGATTTACAAGGACTATGCACTGTCAATGCACAATTTAACCTTTGGTTGCCGATTTTTCCAGATACTTGTTGTTGTCCAAATTAAGAACCAAGCAGTTAAATGGCAGGTTTTTTTTAAATTGGGACTTCCATTGTCAACCGCTATGTCCGTTGATGCCATGTGTAAAACATAAAACACATTATGATCTAATTGAGCATACACAAATCTTTGGCCTCCATTACACCACATTTTCATCCAGGTACTTTTGATTGTTGGTTTTGTATCGACAGCTGGGGCAGAATCTCTCCTGACCACACACACACACACAATTTTATTTCATGCCAATTCAGGGAGCAAATTTGACAAAGCAATGATCTCAACCCCATCCATCACTTTTGGTATGAACTAGAACACTGACAGCATGGCAAGCCGACAGGAACACCGTTGTTTCCTGAAAGTACACTTCCCTTAGATTCAAAAAAAGGTTTTCTGGCTGGAGGCACTCACCTCTCCAGAGAAAGAGCATTTCCCTGTCATTCATTAACCATGAACGCTTACTGACTTTAAATTCTATTAACTACTGGTCACCGAGACACCGGGGACCTCAGAGGCCTCAAGGACACTCATTACAGCACATTAATTGTTCAAGATGAACCACAACAAACACAATTTTCAACCTGGTCAGAAATATTGTAACTTGTCTGAAAAATAAAGCAGGGGTTTATTGTATCTAAATGTTTCAGTTATGGGAAAAATACAAACTTAACCTGTAAATCTGATTACTAGACTACGCTACATTTATTTGTGAAGCAATAACGTCTTAAAACAATGGGGATTTGTTGTGAATATTCAAAGCAAAAAAGCTTTTGAGAGCAGGTCGTCTTGTAGAATCTTTTGATAGCTGTAAGGGCAATTAGAACATTGCACATAATAAAAGGGTAAACAAGTAAATTATTAAATTACATTTTAATAATTTGAAGGAGTGAAAGACTCAATAATAATAGGATAATGGGGTTTAAACTGTGGCATCATTTTGCTAATTTTCTGCGTGTGATAAATTGAAAGGGTAATCTCAGTGGAGGAAAAGGATTCCCATCTACGCCGGGTGGTAACAACTAATCAACAGACCGTTGACAACAGCACAAAAAGTGTATTCTTCTACTTGTGAAAAGTTCTGAGACAACTTATAGCCCATTTAATATTTTGCTGAATTAATTGTAACGACCATAGTTGTTCTATTTTTCTAATCTTTTGTTTGTTTGTCTTGTAAGCAAATAAATAATAAAAAAAACGGAATTCCTGTATGGACATTTATTCTTTTGTCTGCATAAGCCACAAACCACAGTATATCAGTGGCCTTTTGATTTATAATTGTTTTTAGAGTCATGGGATAACATAAATTCCACAATATGCCACATATAATATGTAGTGAGGTAATAGCTCTGACCCATTCGAGTATCACACCAGAAAGTACAAATCCCTAAAAGTAGGCTGACCAGTGGCTAGTTAGTCCCTAGAAAGGCACACAAAAATGAATCCACCTCATTTGTGGAGTTTTGTCCATTTAAACACATCATCATTTCCACCCTGTTTAATATAAAACCCTGGTCTCTGGCGCTACGCTTCACACCACTCCAGCGTCATCGACGTGTCCGGAGTAGCATGTCAATGTCTGCTCATTAAAATGTGACTAAGTGAAACTGCATTCACAGCAATCGTACAGTTTCTAAGCATCACACGCATACAGTAAATAAAATTCCATCGTATGTTTACTTTGTTTTTAGGTGTATCAATGAAGTATACTGTAGGTTTTCAGAACAAAATAACTGGAACAGGCCTTGGAAAAGGTCAAAGTTTGGGTTAAAGTAAGTTTGAAAGTACGATGGAGGAAGAGAATATTAAAATTTATTTGACCCATCTCCTCTCCCCTTCCAATTCCAGTCATGTTCTACAGGGACCTTTTTATTATAGACAAATCAAGTACTTTATATATGAAATATTTATTTGATTACCATCACCATCTAATCTGGGTATGTCCAGTGATGATATAAAGTGAGAGCGTAAACAATCAGGGACACCAGAGGTCGTGAGAAGTTTACCAGTTCAAAGTTTGCTCATTGTTGTAACCACAACATTTCAGTTTTCATCAACAGTTACAAGGATGGGTGTACATTCGTTTTCCGTACTACATGCCGAGGGGCATGGAGTTCAATCTAAAGTAATGGTACCAACTGAGAAATAATTTGGTTGCCAGCTCCAAAGTAAACATAAGTTCAAATGAAAAATTGTGTCATATGTTACTGTGAGTTGTCAACAAACTGATGTGCTCCTCCTACACCCATTCACTTTCAGCCTCAATTGTATCTGGAGCCCATCCTGCTCCGCATCCCATTATCTGATCTTCACAAACTGCCTTCATCACCTGAACCCGCGTCCAGGGAGGAACATACTTTACATAGAAAACACTACCTAGTCTACTAGTCTAATCGTCCAAACATTCATCTTATCATGCGTGTGTAATAGAATATTTGTTAATGTAAGGAGATCAACTTCAGGTGTGACCCTGGTGCTGACTGGATGGTCTCTAGAGGTTAAGACGTCAACCATGAACACCAACGCCTTCGCTCATTCTTTTTAAGAATAACAATTATGGCTTGTGTATTATAGCTTGGTGTATGAAATCAAACACTCTTTCTACGCAAATATTCTTTATTCCAATCAATGAAGTAATGTTTTTCAAACCAAATGTTAGTCTTAGTGCCAAAACAGACATGCAGACATACAGCCTGAAGAAGGTGGGATTGGGGTGTCAATGGCAACGGTGGCTGTGACGGGATTGGAGATAATGATGGATATACACAACACAAAGTAAAATGATTTAAAGCAAACGCATACTCCTTATCCAGTCAAAGCATCATCAGCTCTGAGGAGAAGACGGGAGTGCGGAAACAGCTGCTTCAGGTTCCACACCAAATCCTTAATATTGCTGTGACCATTAGACACTAGCTTTAGTTTTTATAGTTTTTATTCGTTCATAATAATTGAATTACTCTGAGAGGTGAGTCATTTATTTTCTTGCAGGGACATTTTGGGGATCTGTTTATTTGCTTAAGAATCACATTGAACAACTAATATAACATTCTTTGGTCCACATTTTACGATGCTGTTCTGGTCTTTATTGTAACGTGTGGTTATATGTCTGAAATCATTATCACTGAAAGGAGGGTTTTCAAAAATTCTTCTCTTCCACAGAAGCACGCTGTTTTGGATGGATAACGTAACAATGGTAGTACCTCTCAAGCAGCCTATTGTGTTCCAGCTGGAGGGCTTCTATGTACCACCGGGCTACGGAGCCTTCTTGTTCTTCCTGGCCCTGCTTTGCTACATCGTAATAATGTTGGCAAACGGTGTGGTGCTGTGCATCATTGTCATAGACAAGAACCTGCACAGACCCATGTACATACTGGTTTGTAATCTTGTAGTCTGTGATCTGCTGGGGGCCACAACGGTGTTGCCTCGCCTTATGATGCACTTCTTGATGGGCCAGAAGAAGATCGGCTACATCTCGGCCATCGCCCAGGCCTTTTGTGTGCACCTGTACGGCACTGCAGTGCAGACTATTCTGGGTGTAATGGCCTATGACAGGTACAGAAACACATTAGCAGAATTTTTTGCTGTCATGCATGAATTGTAAGTGTTGACTGATGACTTAAGCGCTTTGGATGTCTCAGTTTATTCCCAGTTGTTTACTGTCATTTCCAGTTAATTTATTTTTCTGTTCTGTTGTTGTTAATTAACTGCCACAAGCCTGCACGCCTTAACCTCCTCTCATGTATCCAGTCCATATCTTGATATGAGAATGGTGTTAGTTTGTAAGAAGAGCTCGGCTACGGACTCTTTATTTCCCCGCCTTGATTTATTTATTTATTGTCTTATGATTTATGTTTATTGACCTTTGGACAACATTCAGCAAAATTGTTAACCTGTCATGGATTTCTAAAAGCCTGTGTTCACATACTGATCAGGAAAAAGGAAAAAAATATTTTTTTCATGTGGACACTGCTGTCCCTCTGCAGGTACATTGCTGTGTGTGAACCACTGAGGTACCACGCCATCATGACTTCGGCTCGACTACACTCCTACCTCGCCCTGGCCTGGTTCATCGCTGTCCTGCTTATAGCTGTACTCTTCATCTTACACATGAACTCCCCGCTGTGTGGAAATATTATCCATCACGTGTACTGCAGCAACCGAGGAATCCTGAACCTGGCCTGCAGTCCCACCCCCATGAACAACATCTATGGTAAGTGCATTTGTTTGGAATAACGGTTCAAACATATGATATATTGTTGAACATTGTCCTTGTTGAGAGGTGTCATTTAGCATCTCATTCTGTTTAGATGTTACATAACTGACAGAATAATTGTATGTTTTTCAAGGTCTGTCCATCTACTGGTTTGTAAATACAAGCATCTTCCTCATCATTGCTTTTTCCTACATCAGAATCCTGCATGTTTGTGTAAAACAGGGAAGAGATGACAGCTTTATTCGCAGTAAGACCTTTCAGACGTGTGCACCTCACCTTGTTGTTTACGTACTCTATCAACTTGCTACATTGGTCATAATTGTAAGTCAGAGATTTCCCTCACTCTCACAAAATGTCAAGAAATTCTTCAGCATCATGTTCATCATTATTCCACCAGCAATGAACGCTATGATATACGGACTGGTCAGTAAAGATATCCGTGCAAGCATTATTCAGCATTTTAAATATGTGTATGTCCATCGAAAAAACTGATTGAGGTTTAACTTTTTAGGGTCCTTGTATTTCTGATAATTGCTTGTAAACCCCTTTCAATTACATGTAAAGTTTTCAATAACCATGCACATATCGGAACGAGAGCTTATTAAGTTTATAGGCACACCACTGGCCTGGTGTTTTTTTTTTATCCCATTTCTCCTGTCTATCGCTTCTAACAACATTAAAGAAATAGAGTATTGATTATTATCTTTGTTTTGATCAGCCAGACATATCAATGGTGATTCACATACTTCTAATGATGTCAGTGTTTCATAGAGTATTTCAAGTTCATTCTGAAGAGATTTGTTGAAATTGTAATAATGATTTATTGAACAGATGTAAATATTTATAGTGCAAAGTTGTTTGGTGCTTAGGCTCCATCCTGCCGTAGGATAGATAGGGTACGGAAAGCCGAGATGAGATGAGGCATATTCCCTCTTTGGAGGGGTCAGGGGTTGTGGCGGGTCGCCTTTGGCGCTTCCTGAAATGACAACTGATAGCACACGAGAGGAGACCAGTTTTTAACGCTTGACAGCACCGATGCAATTGGTTTCCGGTAAAGGGGCCCACGTCTGGTCTGGTTGGCTCGTACGACCCGGCTCCCAATCAGCTGACCGTGCACCCACAGGGAGAGAGAAGGCCACCTGGGAACAGTACAGCCCGTCCAGTCTTTTTGGCTGAATTTTCGCCTAAGCTGCAATGGCTGGAATTTGTTTATTGTTGCACAAAACATTGCTGTATTACATTAAAAAACGGCAAAATATTTCTCTAACAAAATGCTTTACAGATAAAGGATGAAGAACGGTTAGCAACGATGTTTGTGAATTAACCTGGTGTAGAATGTGAAAAAATACAGAGATGCTAATGGTTGGCATTTTAGTTAAATTCAGCACTCTCGGAACAGAGTATAGTGAAACAATGAAGTAGAGAGATTTAACAGAAATAATCACAATTGTGTTTTATGTGGGACATCCATTCAGGGATAGGGTTACCTTCCATGAACATAGATTTTCTGTGTCTTTGGTTGCAATTACATTTCACCTATGGAGGACACCCTTCAAGGCTCAAATAGTTTCGACACAATAAAATGCTCAATAAGCTAAGTAGCTCCCAAGAGGGTGTACAGAGTTAGTAGTTGTTGAGCATGTTCGAAAGCTCAGATTGGATCTTGGGGAGAATTTCTTTAAGATATCTACACCAAATATATCTTTAACCTGCATGTCCCTGCCTTTCATACGTACGTCCTGTCATGCATGTTTTAGCTGCGGTAGTGATAATCTCACGATCGTAGAGGAAGTAAAGAGCACGGATTTTATCGCCATTCAAGCAGATGAGACGTCTGACACATTACATATTATATCCTGCTGATTATTAATTTATGTGTATATATAATATTATACTGAATTGCCTGTGAGGTTGACAAAAATAAATTGTCAAAGTGTTATCTACTGCTTTAAAAAATATATTTAACTGAGAAGTAGTAATGGCTTTTTGATACCTTAACTGTTTTGTATTGTTGGGGTGTTTGCTGAAAATCATTGTATTGCCCTACCTAGAACATTTTCCACTAGCCACTTTCCAAATATCTCTTCAGTGTCAGGCTTGGATGATATGCTAGCATTCCTGTCCTGTTCATTTCAAGAATACATGACTGTATAACCTCTCTTAAAAGCACAAAAGGCAAAAACAAGGGTGGACTGTGTAGGTTAACTTTGGGTGACATATAAAAAAAACTATGGATTTGTCGTTTACGAGTGAGTGACAGTTCTTCCTGTCCAAAGCTTAGCACAATCAAAGCTCTGCATTGAACTAATTTTTGAAAAGTAATATTAGCATTAATATATACGTATATATATATAAATACGGATAGTTTTTACAGACGTCGTAATACCCCTGCCAAGTAACTTGCATATTTTGGTAATGTCCTGCTGTAGCTCTATGTAGCTGTAGTTCTATGATCTTTAAAACAATTTCTGAAACAATATTTGGTGTCACAGATCGAAAACTCTACAATAAGAAAAATACATGAAAACATCACAGTGTTTGTGACACTGGCCTCTAACAGAATATTGTTGCATTGGAAATCCACAAATCCACAGTGGATTTGTAAAATTAGAGAAAATAAAATGCTCAAGGAACAAATTCTTCTCCCCCTGGAATCTTGTTCTGACAGATTTAGGGAAACTCAAAACCCTAACCCTACCCCTGATACCTTTCCTGTGACCCATAATCTTGAGGCGCACAATACAGTTTTTAGATTAATTTATTAACTTGACCCTCTTTCTGAATGAATGAAACATGAATTATTTGGGCACACTAATTTCTACCTACAGACCAATCCTATTGTAATTTCATTTGTGGGTATAATGTTCCTGCATGACGTTGATTGTGTATTTACTTTGTAAAGTGATGCAGGAATGCATACATAATATTCTGTTCTTTTAGGCAGGTTCACAAGTGGGTGGGGTAGGTTTGTTTTTTGTTTGTGTATGTTAAGAAAAACTAAAACAATGGAAATCTTAGTCAAAGTACATGTTTACTGTTTTCTGTTACAAAGTGGAACCACTCTAATATTTTTACGATGGACATATAAATTGGTAAAATGCTTGATGATGCTAGAACGGATATCTTTACTGACCAGTCCATATATCATAGGGTTTAGAGCTGGTGGAATAATGATAAACAGGATACTGAAAAACCTCTTGATATTTTGTGAGAGTGAGGGAAACCTCTGACTTATAATTATCACCACTGTAGCAAGTTGATAGAGTACGTAAACCACAAGGTGGGGTGCGCACGTCTGAAGGGTCTTACTGCGAATAAAGCTGTCATCTCTTCCTTGTTTCACACAAGCATGCAGGATTTTGAAGTAGGAAAAAGCAATGATGAGGAAGATGCTTGTATTCAAAGACCAGGACATGGAAAGACCTTGAAAAAAATACAAATGAACGTACAATTATTCTGTCAGTTATGTATCATCAAAACTGAATAAGATGCTAAATAACACCTCTTAATGTGGACAATGTTCAACAAAATATTGTGTGTTTGAACCGTTATTCTAAAAAATGCATTTACCGTAGATGTTGTTTATGGGGGTGGGACTGCAGGCCAGGTTCAGGATACCACGGTTGCTGCAGTACACGTGATGGATGATATTGCCACACAGCGGGGAATTTATGTGTAAAATGAAGAGCACAGCAATAAACAGGAAAGCGATGGACCAGGCCAGGGCAAGGCAGGCGTGTAGCCGAGCCGATGTCATAATGGCGTGATACCTCAGTGGTTCACACACAGCAATGTACCTGCAGAGGGGCGAGCAATGTCCACATGAAAAAATATCCATAGCTTTTTCCTAGTTACAGACGAATGTTAACAGGATCTTAGCTTGTCAAACTGAGAGTACCTTGGTGGCATTTGTTCTTGTAGGGAAATAGATACTAGTAGTCAGAAAGATAATTTGTGGACACAGGCTCCTATAGGCTTTGCACCCATTGAAACCATTCAATACAGGTCATGGCCGTCCACAAAGACGGTGACAGGCTGATGGAGGATGGTTGTGGCCAGTATCTTTTTCAGGGCTGCCACATATGGCTGCACATTCCCTGTCCTCAAAATTAGATTTTACATAATATACAATGAACAGTGAGCAGTTCAAAGTTAAAAAAAAGAGTCCGTATAAAAGCCAAGAACTTCTGATACAGACTATATGCCTGAGAATAGGGCAGGGTCATGAACAAAAACAAGATAATACCTGTCATAGGCCATCACACCCAGAATAGTCTGCACTGCAAAGCCATACATGTGCACACAAAAGGCCTGGGCGATGGCCGAGATGTAGCCGATCTTCTTCTGGCCCATCAAGAAATGCATCATAATGCGAGGCAACACCGTTGTGGCCCCCAGCAGATCACAGACTACAAGGTTACAAACCATTATGTACATGGGTCTGTGCAGGTTCTTGTCTATGACAATGATGCACAGCACCACACTGTTTGCAAACATTATTACGATGTAGCAAAGCAGGGCCAGGAAGAACAAGAAGGCTCCGTAGCCCGGTGGTACATAGAAGCCCTCCAGCTGGAACACAATAGGCTGCTTGAGAGGTACTACCATTGTTACGTTATCCATCCAAAACAGTGTGCTTCTGTGGAAGAAAAGAATTTTTGAAAACTCTCCTTTCACCTTTATGGGACAGTGATAATGATTTTAGACATATAACCACACGTTACAATAAAGACCAGAACAGCATCGTAAAATGTGGACCAAACAATGTTATATTAGTTGTTCAATGTGATTCTTAATAAACAGATCCCCAAAATGTCCCTGCAAGAAAATAAATGACTGACCTCTTAGAGTAATTCAATTATTATGAACGAATAAAAACTATAAAAACTAAAGCTAGTGTCTAATGGTCACAGCAATATTAAGGATTTGGTGTGGAACCTGAAGCAGCTGTTTCCGCACTCCCGTCTTCTCCTCAGAGCTGATGATGCTTTGACGGGTTGGGTTAAGGAGAATGCGTTTGCTTTAAATCATTTTATTTCGTGTTGTGTGTATCCAGGGTGGTGTGGTGGTTAGCACTGTCGCCTCACAGCAACAAGGTCCTTGGTTCGACTCCGCCCAGTGGCCTTTCTGTGTGGAGTCTGAATGTTCTCCCTGTGTCTGTGTGGATTCTCTCTGGGTACTCCGGGTTCCTCCCACAGTCCAAAGACATGCTCTGGGGATCAGGTTGATTGCTGACTCTAAATTGCCTGTAGGTGTGTGAATGGTTGTGTGTCTCTGTGTTAGCCCTGCCATTGGCTGGCGACCAATCCAGGGTACCCTGTCTATTGCCTGAAGTTGGCTGTGATAGACTTCAGCCCCCCCCCCCCCCGTGTGTGCAGGACTGTGCAGGATTATTCTACTACTTAACAACCACAATTTATATCGACTGGATAGATACGTACTAGCATCAATTCAGAGAAGGGATCCCACTTGCGGGATGGACAGACTACAATGGATGCCGTGTGTACAAAATGAACAATGTAAAATATGTATAATACATTCACTTCCTATAACAGAAGTTATTCAAATAATTGCGAGTAGCAAGCCAAGTGTACGGCAGGACCACTGCAGGAGCAACCACCATCAGATAGAACCACCATCCACAGAAGCCTGTGGGGAGGGAGAGCACAAATACTTTATGAGGTCCCGGCTAACCTGAGCCAGCCCTAACTTTAAGCGATGTCCAAGAGGAAAGTTTTAAGCTTTATCTTAAAAGAGCTGACCGAATCTGCCTCCTGGACTGAAAGTGGAAGCTGGTTCCACAAAAGAGGAGCTTGATAACTGAAGGCTCTGGCTCCCATCCTACTTTTTAAAACCCTAGGAGCAAAAAGTAACCCAGCATCTATGGAGCGCACGTGCCCTGTAGGGCGATACGGCGTTACAAGCTCTTTAAGATAACATTACATTACATGTCATTTAGCTGACGCTTTTATCCAAAGCGACTTACAATAAGTGCATTCAACCATAGGGATACAAACTCAGAAGAACAAGAAACAAGAAAGTGCAATTTCCTCAAATAAGCCAATTTACAATTTGCTATAGATAGGTGGCATTGCAAGTTCAATTTAAGTGCTACAATTTGTTAGTCTTTTAGTCGAGGTAGAGTCTGAAGAGGTGT